TACTCTTTGTCCTGAACACATTATTTCCTTGATATCTTTGCACATGAAGTTTCTTTCTCTGCCTGTGAAGTCTGGGAATGTTGCATGGCAGGTTTGTCATAGTCATGTGCCTCAGAGAACCCACTGACTTAAGGTCTTCAACATCTGGAATGCCCTGACCAGGACGTGCAGATAAGGGACAGAGCAGCAGCTGGGAGGGCTGCTCAGGGATCTTTCCTGTTCAGGGCAGAGCACATAGGGTGAGAGTCAGAGAGCACAGGAGTGGGCAGGGGGACAGGGCAGAAACAGGGAATTCTGGCTATTGAGGGGAATTGGATATACGGTCTTTGTCTTTCAAAGAGTGCAAGACCGTGGTGGTTGTTTATAATTAGTCCATAGTGAACTTCCAATAAGGCATGCACTGAGGAAGACTAGGTCAGAAATGCCACCCTCTGGAATTGAAGCTAAATGTGGTGAGATAAATTAAATGTGAGGAGATGATCTATCTGCAGTAGGGATCCTCCCTTGGAAATTAAGCGTGTTGCTAATGGAGGTTGTTTCTCAAGTGTCCTTCGAGGACACTAAGTGTTGTTGAATCAAGAGCGGGAAGAGGAGAGTCAGAGGTTGAGTGTCATTTGGTGTGTTTCCAGCAGTGTCCAAAATGAGGGGGCTGCTCTGGTCCTAGATGTTTGACTATAGTTGTTTAAGGAGAAATATTACTAGAGTAGAAGACTGTTATGGTAGCAACACTTGTGTTTTAGAGTCAGACAGTTTTGGATATGAAACCTGGCTCCACTAATGTAAGCAAGTCACTCCATCTTTCAGAGTCTAAGTTTTCTTTTCAATAAAATGAGTATAACATTTATAGTCACAGGTGGTTATAAGAAGAAAGTAAGCAATAAATAATATATTAAATAATATATGCAAAGCACATAATTTAATATTCCCAGCTCATAAGGTACTCAATAAAAATGTTAGTTTTGCACTCTTTCCCTTTCAGGACAAATGGTTAAAATCATCAGGTTACTGTTACTGGGAAACCCCAGTGGGGCTCAGGGCTGCCTGTTGCTGTATCCAGTTCAATGGAGGCAGGGTTGAATCATATAAGGTGTTTATTGAAAAGGCGGGCCAACCAAGAAAACCGGGAACATACTTAATGAGCATCCAAAACCTGTCTTAAGGAGTGGCCTTGAGGGATGGGGCAAACTGGGGCTAGGAATGGAATGCAGCTACGTGCAGTCCTGGAAGTCATTCTTTTGATCTTGGTCGCCTGGCAGTGTGTCAGATAAGGTGACATCTTCACTCCTTTGATCTTGGTGGCCAGGCAATGTCTTGATAAGGGGATATCTTAACCCATTGTTCACAGCTGCTAAGCCACCTCTGTAATTGCTTCAGTCCGGGATCAAGGGGAGTGTAGGGTGCAAAGGCCTAGAAGAAAGAAGCCTAAGGGAAAAAAAAACCCTTAAATCCCTGCTTACATAAGTATATGTGTTCTACAATTTTATAAGTAATATAATTATATTTCAGATTAATTCAGGTGCTCAATCTTTGGACATTATAAGTGCCCCTGTCATTACAACAGCCCTTCGAGAATAAAACTCCTTTGCTGGCAAGCTCATCTAACCACCTCTGATATCTCTAAAAGAATCTATCCAGTGGGAGGGACTATCCCATGATAGACAAGTGGTTCCCGTTCCCAGTGCATATTATTGACATCAGAAACATACAAACCTGTAGAGAATTTTTACGAGTTTACTTGAGCCAAACTGACCACATATGCCAGGGAGCAAGATTTCAAGTGCTCAGACAATAAGAGTTGTGTGGTTTCTTTTATGCATTTGAAATTAAGGAGGGAAGGCAGGGAAGATCACGTGGAGGTGGGAGAAAGCAAGGTGGGGATTGGATTACGGGATAGTGAACAAGATTATGTGCTCTCTCAAAGGGTGGTCTGCTTTAGAAGGAAGCATCTAAAAGGGGGAATTTCAAAGGTGTGTTAACCTAGATCCACAGAAACAATGGACAGGGCTTGCTTAGAGCAAAGCTAAGCATTTTACTAAAGAAGCTTTATGCCTGGGGCATGACTACTCACCGTGAGCTGCTCAGCTAGGCATTTATGGTCAAATCACCCTGTAAGGTTACTTTCCATAGAACCCCCTTTTTAATCCACAACTCATATCTTGTAGTTGATAAATCAGACGCTTTGCTTAGTATGAATCTCTTTCCCACAGCTTGATCACATCTGATTGTACAGAAAAAAAAAATTGGGTTTCTTGATCTTCAAAATGATATCCAGACTTGGACAAGGTATTGAGACCCTAAAAGATCCTGTCCACAAACAGCCTACTCCTTTCTTTTAGCTGCAACACTGTGGTCCTTGGACTCTGGGGATGTAAGAAGAGGAGCGCTATGAAAAACTTGGCTTAGCTATACAGCTCAGCGTTTCTTTGAATTTGCTTTGGTTTCTCTTACTTAGAGTAATTTTCTTGGTCCTGAACTCTTGAAATTTGGAAGAAGCAAAGAATAAGTTTGAGATGTTGCCTGGAAAAAGGGTCAGAGTTCGGTGTTTATTCTTGTAGGTTCAGATATGCACTTGCTTCATTGTCCCTGAGTTGATTAGATTCAAGAAAGCTGTTTTCATGGTAACTAAATTACCAGGGACTGAAATATGATGGAAGCCATAATGCCAGGTTATTAATTTTCAATCAGAAATGCATTGTCAGAAACTAGAGGTGTCTATATTAATCTGGCAAGGGCATGTTTCCTTCTTTTGGGAAAATTATAGAAAGCCAAAATTTTCAGAAGGCTCTTTGGTGAAGTTCAGTTCTGAGCCAGACAGTTGGTTATGGGATTCAGATGATGTGCTGATACATGTATTTTAACAACTGGGGTGTGCTGGACCGGATATGGCAGTGGACCAGCTTGTCAGTCCTTGGTGGCATTCTAACATTGATCTATGTGTTCCCCTCTTTCTTGTGAAATAGTCTGAGGTTTACAAATAAGTGTAGGGAATGATATAATATAATAAACATCTTGCTTAAGAAAACTTTTGGCCTTATTTATTCTTTCAACCCCGTTTTCTCTCTTCTCTACAGAGGTAACCACTATTTTGAATTGGGTGTTTAACATTCCCATAAATATGTATTAACTACAAATAATATATGGTATTATCCTTAGCCCAGGTAGCGAGAGGTTAAGAAAGTATAAGACATTGTTGAGCCTAATGGGCTGGGGAGCATCAGACTGTTAGTTTCACCAGAAAATTACAGCTTCACACACTCCAGGGCATCCCCGCAACGCCCCGCCAAGGATTAAGGCCCTCCCGAGCGGGATTGGGGGGCAGGGGGTAAGGACATGCGCAGTGGAAGTCAGAAAGGCTCAGGGGGCGGTGCTTGGCCACAGAGGCCTGTCAGTCTAGCCGTGGGAAAGCATAGATTGGTCAGGAGGCGGGCCCATCTCAAGCCCCGGAAAGCTTGGGAAGTTGATTGGTTATTTTGAAAAAGCCCTGGTCCTTCCGGAACGCCGGGAGACTGTAGTCCCGGGGGCGGAGCTCTGCGCGGAGCCCGCGAGCC